CACTTGGGCTACTTCCATATCCTGGCTATTGCAAAAATGCTGCTATGCTTATAGAGGTACATGTATTCCTCTGAATTAGTGCTCTTGTGTTCTTTGGGTAAATACCCAGTAGTGTGATTGCTGAATCACAAAGTAGTTCTATTATTAACATTTTGAGAAACCTTCATACTGTTTTCCAGTGGCTCTACCAAAGTGCATTCCCAACAACAGAGCATGAGTGTTCCTTTTTCTCCACAGCCTCACCAACACCTGTTGTTTCTTATGTTGTGCTGGTTTTAGCCATTCGACAGGTTTGAGGTGACTCTGATTTGCACTTCCCTGATGATGGGTGATGTTGGGCATCTTGCTGTGTGTCTTGTGGCCACCTGTATATTTTCTTTGGAGAAATGTCTATTAGTGTCTTCTGTCCATTTTATAATTGGATTATTTGTTTTGAGAGTGTTGAGTTTTTTAAGTTCTTTGTATATTTTGAATACTAAGCCTTCACTGGATATGTCATTTGCGAATATACTCCCCCATTCTGTAGGTTGCCTTTTAGTTTTGTTGATTGTTTCCTTTGCTGTGCAAAAGCTTTTTATGTTGATAGAGTTTGATCATTTATTTTTGCTTTTGTTTCCCTTGCCTCAGGAGACATATCTAAAAAGGAGTTGCTACAGCCGATTCAAAGAAGTTACTGCCTGTGTTCTCTTCTAGGATTTTTATGGTTTCAAGTCTCACATTTAGTTCTTTAATCCACTTTGAATTTATTTTTGTGTATGGTGTAAGAAAGTGGCCCACTTTCTTTCTTTTGCATCTAGCTGTCCAGTTTTCCAGCACTATTTGTTGAAGAGACTGTCCTTTCCCCATTGGTTATTCTTTCTTGCTTTATTGAAGATTAACTGACCATATAATTGTGGGTTGATTTCTGGGTTTTACATTCTGTTCCATTGATCACTGTATATTTTTTATGCCAGTACCATACTAATTTGATTACTACAGTTTTGTACTATAACTTGAAGTCCAGAATTGTGATGCATCTAGCTTTGCTTTTCTTTTTCAAGATTGTTTTGGCTATTTAGGGTCTTTTGTGGTTCCACTTGAATTTTAGGATTGTTTGTTATAGCTCTGTGAAGAATGCTTTTGGTATTTTGATTGGAATTGCATTAAATGTATAGATTGCTTTGGATGCTATAGACATTTTTAACAATATTTGTTCTTCCAGATCCATGGGAATGAAATGTCTTTCCATTTCTTTGTGTCTTCTTCAATTTCTTTCATCAATGTTTACAGTTTTAAGAATACAGGTCTTTCAGCTCTTTGGTTAGGTTTATTCCTAGGTATCTTATTATTTTTGGTGCCATTGTAAATAGGATTGTTTTCTTAATTTCTCTTTCTATTGCTTCATTATCGGTATATGGAAATGCAGCAGATTTCTGTACATTGATTTTGTATCCTGCAGCTTTACTGAATTTGTTTAACAGTTCTAGCAGTTTTCTGGTGAAGACTTTTGGGGTTTTCTATATACAGTATCATGTCATCTGAAAATAGCAAAAGTTTTACTTCTTCTTTACTGATTGGGATTCTGTTTCTTTCTTTTTGTTGTCTGATTGTTGTGGCCAAGACTTCCAGTACTAGGTTGAATAAAAGTGGTGAGAGTAGACATTCTCGTCTTGTTCCTGACCTTAGGGGAAGAGTTCTTCGTTTCCCCATTGAGGGTGATGTTAGCTGAGGCTTTTTCATATATCATCCTTATTTTGCTGAGGTATGTTCCCTCTAAACCTACTTTCTAGAGGGTTTTTATCATGAATGGATGGTGTCCTTTGTCAAATGCTTTTTCTGCATCTACTGAAATGATCATATGATTCTTATCTTTTCCCTTATTAATGTGATGTATCATGTTGATTGATTTGAGAATATTGAACCACTTTTGCAACCTGGGGAGGGGAGAATCCCATTTGATTGTGATGAGTGATTTTTTTCTATATTGTTGAATTTAGTTTGCTAGGAGTTTGTTGAGGATTTTTGCATCTATGTTTATCAGGTATATTGGCCTGTAGTTCTCTTTTTTGGTAGTGTCTTCATTTGGTTTTGGTATCAGGGTAATGCTGGCATCATAGAATGAATTGGAAGATACCCTTCATTTTCTATTTTTTGGAATAGTTTGAGAATAAATTTTAACTCTTCCTTAAATATTTGGTAGAATTTGCCTGTGAAGTTGTCTGGTCCCAGACTTCTGTTTGCTGAGAGATTTTTGCTTATTGACTCAATTGATTTCAAATTCTCTATTTCTTCCTATTTCACTTTTTGTTTCTAGGAATTTATCTATATCCCAGTTTGTCAAATTTGTTGGCATATAGCTTTTCATAATATTCTCTTATAATTTTTGTATATCTCTGATGTTGGTTGTTATTTCTCACTTTCATCTGTGATTTTATTCATCTGTGATTTTATTTGTTTGGGTCCTTTCTCTTTTCTTTTTGATAGTCCTGGCTGGAGGTTTATCAATTTTATTAATTTTTTCAAAGAACCAGCTTTGGGCTTCATTGAGCTATTCTATTGTTTTCTGTAGTTTTAAAAAAAGGTTTGCTAATTTTTGGTTTTTAAGAAATGTTTTTAAGTATTTGTTTATTTTTGAGAAAGAGAGAGAGGAGGAGGACAGAGGATTTGAAGCAGGTTCTGTATTGACAGCAGAGAGCCTGATGTGGGGCTCCCAACTCACAAACTACGAGATCATGACCTGAGATGAAGTCTGATGCTTAACTGACTACGCCATCCAGTAACCCCTGATTTGTTCTATTGTTTTTTTAGTTTCTATATCATTTATTTCTGCCCTAACCTTTATTATATAATGCCTTCCATCTGCTGCCCTTAGGCTTTATGTGCTGTTTCTCTTCTACATCCTTTAGGTATAAGTGTAGTATTTTTATTTGAGACTTTTCTTGCTTCTTGATGTAAGCCTGTATTGCTATATGTTTCCCTCCTAGGACCACTTTTGCTGCGTCCCAGAGGTTTTGGACAATTGTATTTTCATTTTCATTGGTTTCCATCTATTTTTTGTCTCCTCTTTTATTTCCTGGTTGACCCATTCATTTTTAGTAGCATGTACTTTACCCCCATGTATTTATGGTCTCTCCAGGTTTTTTCTTGTGGTTGAATTTAAGTTTCATAGTGTTGTGGTCAGAAAATCCTTGTTGATTGTTTCCTTCTGTTTACAGATGGTTGTTTTGATCTGTTTACAGATCAATGATCTGTTCATCAATGTAAGTGGGGTATTAAAGTCTTCTACTATTATTGCATTGTTATTGATAGTTCCTTTCTATTCGTTATTAACTGTTTTATATATTTGGGTGATCTCATGTTACATGGCATAAGTATTTACAATTGTTATATTTTCTTGTTTGGGGTTATCCCCTTTATATTTATATAGTGTCCTTCTTTGTTGCTTGCTACAGTCTTCGTCTTAAAGTCTATTTTGTCTGATATAAGTATTGCTTCTCTGGCTTTCTTTTGACATCTATTTGCATGATAGATGTTTCTCCATCCCCTCACTTTGAATCTGCAGGTGTCTTTAGGTCTAAAATAAGTTTCTTGTAGGCAGATTACAAATGGGTCCTGGTATTCTTTAGTAATATATTTGATTTCCATTTTCTTTATTCTCTGCATTGTTATAAGTGGTTTTGATATATGTTTACCATTATTTTGTATATAAACTCTTCTGCAAATAGCAGTCTACATTAAGTTGATGGTCATTCAAGTTTGAACCCATTCTTCTCTCTCTTCCTCACATCTTAGGTACATGTTGTTATATTTTATATCCTATTTCTTGTATGAGTTCCTTGACTGTTTTTCTTACAGAAATATTCATTTTTACTGCTTCTGTGTTTCCTATGTTTACACTGTCATTTTTGGTTTCTCCTTTTTACTCAAAGAGTCCCATGTAATATTTCTTGCAGGGTTGGTTTAATGGTCATGAACTGCTTTAGTTTTAGTTTATCTCTTTATCTCTCCTTCTATTCTGAATGATTACCTATATCTTCTTTTTTAAAATTATTTTAATGTTTATTTTTGAAAGAGAGAGACAGAGACAGAGCATGAGCAAGGGAGTGGCAGAGAGAGAAGGAGACACAGAATTTGAACCAGGCTTCAGGCTCTGAGCTGTCAGCACAGAGCCCGATGCGGGGCATGAACCCATGAACCATGAGATCATGACCTAAGCCGAAGTCGAACACTTAACTGATTGAGCCATCCAGGCACCCCAACCTATCTCTTCTTAACCATAGTGTTTAACGAGTTTGCTTCCATACACCTCCACATCAAGACATGGAGGATTGAAGTATGATGTAAGAACTTTTGATGTACTGTTCACTTTAAAGAGATATTTCTTTTAAAAAAGTTAAGTAAGGCTAAATAGAACACTTTCTAGCCATATCCCAAATTGCTTTTGGAATGTCACTGGTGCTCTATGTAGGTGATGTCAAGTTAGAGCCCTTTTCTGGATCTAACAAGAATAGTGAATATGGGAGATCAGGCAGGAAATCTAAACTCATTGAGCACCATTGAGATCAAACCCCAGCTTCCATACCTGGGATAACTATTAGTGTGGCCCAGGACATCAGTGGAGGGCAGATGCTAGGGGAGAAGGGAGAAGGTGACAGCCCACATATTCTGATTCAGGTGGAACCCTGGACACAAGCCAGAATTCAGTCATGACCTCCTAGGAACCTTGACCCAAGTATTTATTATGTCCTCTTAGGAAAAGGTTAGGAAACAAGTTTGTTTACATGACACATGAACGTGAGATTGCTCAGGAGTCCAAGGTTAGAAGCACTGGCAAATCTCATCCAAAGTACTGACTCAGGGAAATCCACACTTAGAATTCAAGGAGATAAAGTGGGACATCATGTTTCAAATCTGATTACGGGTTCAAAGTGTGATTACAAAACTGCTCAAATTGGCTTTACGGAGACAGGGCTATAAGCAGTATAAGCAGCCCTATCCCTGTAACTCTATGTCCTGACCCATCCTGGCCTTGTTCCCCACAGAATGGGTCTCCTCCTGCCTGCGGTGCTCTGTGCGCTGGCTGCATGCTGCACGGCTACATCTCCACCCCTGCAGCGCGACCACCTCTCGCCTCTCCTCTCCCGCGGCTGCAACGAATCAAGTGTTCTGGAATTAGCAGGCCTAGCCCTGCAGGACATCAACAGGGGCAGAAAGGATGGTTACGTGCTGAGTCTCAACCGAGTGAGCGATGTCCGAGAACAAAGACAGGCAAGTGACAGTCCCCTGTCCAGGGCATGTGCTTGCACAAGCTGAGGAAGCTGACCAGGGAGCGGGGACCCAGCGACATATATTGGCAGGGACTTCCAAATTGGAAACCCTGCTAAGAATGCTGCCCTCTCCTCTGCCAGGGTATGCTCCATGCTCTTATTGCGCTAATCGTTATCATACTCTGACACTTCTCTAATGTCCCACAGGTAATCAAAACTCTTCACAAACATCACAGACTTTGGCTCTACCATAACAGAGGCTTTTGTCCAGTCTTGAGGGGTTTCTGCTTCATGTGGGATGCAGTGTATTTCTCAACCCCCTCCCACAGGTTAACCTCGGATCTCTGTTCTATTTCACACTGGACGTGTTAGAGACTGGCTGCCATGTACTCAGCAAAAAGGCATGGAAGGGCTGTGGGGTGAGGCACCTTCATGCATCGGTAAGTGTTCGTGTCCAGGAGCTCTGGAGAAGCTGGGTGTCCTCGGAGCTGAATGCAGACTGTTCAGTATGTGCCGCTCTTTAATGTTCTTCATTATAATCTCTTGGGCATGATGCCCATGTGGTTATTCCCAGGCTGTAGATCAAGGAGCATTTAGTGGAAGCCGTTTCTGAGGGTCCCAGTGGGAGCCAGAACCCCAGAATTGATGTTGCCACTAAATTGTTTCCTACCACCAAGACCTTCCTGTAGGCTCTGAGCTAGTGTTTGAATTGTGAGAAAAAAGATCGGAGATACAGTGCTCTGGATGTGAATCTAAGGAAGACTGTAGATGCAATGGAGAGAGAGCTTCTTTCTTGGTTTTATTTTGCTTTCTCTTGCTTCACTGAACACTGATATGAGACATGAGGCTGGGGAGAGGGAGCGTTTATAGTATGAGAGCTCCAAGAGGTGCCATGGATGGATCTCCTGGAATCGTAGAACCTAAAGAGCCTCAGAATCCATCCTTTCAAAGGCAACTGTTGAAAAGGATTGAAAATAACATAGTCCACTTTCTTTTATTCTTAGTTATCCTGAGGTTACTTCCATTAACCGATATGAAATTATATTTTGAGGGCAAGATTGTGTTTAGAAGTAAAGTACTTTTCTAATCATTTAGCCAAAGTTGTCAAATTGCACCTATCTGATTTTGAAGAGCAAAGAGTGTGTTTTCCGTGTTGTAAATTATATTTGTTAAGGTGACACTAGCTGCTGTAATACATACCCTAAAATGTGGCACCTGTGTGGCTCAGTCAGTTAAGCATCCAATTTCGGCCCAGGTCATGATTTCATGGTTTGTGGGTTCAAGCCCTGCATCGGGCTCTGTGGAGCCTGCCTCAGATTCTGTGTCTCCCTCTCTCTCTGCCCCTCCCTGCTCACATTCTCTCTCTCTCTCTCTCTCTCTGTCTCAAAAATGAGTAAACATTAAAAAACGTTTTGTAATACATACCCTAAGAAGTATATACTGATTCCAACTTGATAGCAGTTTCTCACTCATGGAAAGTTCAAAAAAGAAGTTCCTGATGAAGTTGACCCCCAAGTTCCTTCCACATGGTGGCTCTAGACTCTGCCATCTTCAGCTTGTGGTTGCTGTGACTGCCATGCTCATCTGGATGAGGCTATGGAAAGAGAGCATGGTGGACAGGTCACACGTGGGAGAACATCCTGGGCCACCTGGAAATTGTTACAGACACTTCGCATCTTCCTGTGGTTGCAACTCAGTTATACACAGTCACACCTAATCTGGAAGGAGGCTGGGAAATGGAGTCCAGCTGCGTCTCAGAAGAAGGCTAAACTCTTTGTTGATTTGCTGGCAGTGTCTCACACTGAAAACTGCCAAAATTGATCTTGCTTTTTCATTAATTAAAAATAAAGTGTCCAATCTAATTTGGGGACTATGATTTCATTACTATTTATTTATTTATATTTTATTTTATTTTGATATTCAAGTTAGTTAACATACAGTGGAGTCTTGGCTTCAGGAGTAGAACCCAGTGATTCATCTCTTATATATCATACCGTGGTCATCCCAGAAAGCACCCTCCTTAATGTCAGTCCCCTATTTAATCCACCCTACCCACCCACCCCCTCCAGCACCCCTCAGTTTGTTCTCTGTGTTTAAGAGTCTCTTACTATTTGCCTCCATCTCTGCTTTGATCTTATTTTTCCTTTCCTTCTGGGGGATATTTTTAATCATCAGAGTTTGTCCCACCATGTCATAAAATGTGCATTTGTTCCAGGTTTATGGCCAATGCAAAGCATTATTTTACGTTAACGTGCCACAAAGAATTCTCTATGTACCTGCCTACAACTGTACTCTTCGCCCAGGTAAGAGAATACTCTGAATTTGTTCATTATAATAAAATATGGGGAAAGATCATTAAATAGGTCTATGCCTAGAATATACTAGGTTCTCCCACCCTGACTTCCTATTCATACCAAGGCCATGTTCTTCTATCCAGTATTTGCCTCTCCTATGAAGTTCAACTTCCACTGCTCCTCTTCTCACAATGAATCTTCTTAAATCACGTGCCATCATTTATTAGTGAGGACTGCATTAAACCCTAAATTTTCAGTCTGATGTAAATGGCATAATCTCTACCTCGGTTCCCAGTCTCCCTCTCTAGCTCTCTCTGCCATTATTTCCCTGACCACAGCTACTCTGCACTTCTTACAGTTGCATCCCTCTCTATTTTCTGAGCACACATTGCACTTTCTGATCTCGACATCTACCTGTCCCTTCTCCTCCACTGAGGATGCCCTCGCCTAATACCTTCTGTCTTTACAACTTACACCCATTCTTTGAGGATCCCTTCCAATGCCACTTATTCTACCATGCTCTCTGTTCAAGAAAAGAAAGGTTCTTTCCTGTTCTCATTCCTATAAAGGTTTAGCCTAACCTCTCCTGAAACACAATGTACTGCCTTGATTTGGGTCTCCTATCTTCCATCGTGTAGAACAGGTATTCCTTCTTCCTTCCTGCCAAATCCCTCCCTGGGTTCCTATCGAGTGTAAGGGATCCATAGAACTGTTGAACAAATGAACTAAGAATGAGGCTGAAACTAAGGACATTTGAAATATGTGTATGCATTTATTCTCAATCCTTTGTCAAGCAAGCATCCAAGATATGGGAAAAAAGGTATGGCTACTAGTCAAACTACGATGTGTGACTCCTCAGGTGGGTCTTGTTCAAGTGCAGATTCTGATTCTATAGATCTGGGGTATGGCCCGAAAGTCTGCACTTCTAACAAGCTCTAGGAGATAACTATGTCTCTGGGAGATAAGGCAACAGAGCAAATAGTTTCTTAGCCACAGTTGAAGCTTCGTGGTTGTGAAGATGAGTCTTACATAAATAAGAGAACAACTAACAAGACAGATGGGGACTAAAAATGGAAGTCATAGGTGCTAGACGTATGGGAGGTCAGGAAGTGACACATGGGGATGGTGTCAGGAGCGACGAGCTGTGGAAACTGCCTCACAATATGCCCAAATGCATGCAAGTGAGCACGCAATTGATCAAAACAATGTGTTTGCTCTACAAAAATAACTTCCAGAAAAGTTCCCTCGCCTGACATTCATATGAGTTTTGCCACGCCCAGGTCCTCCCAATCAGAAATTCTGGCTACACCCTTAGCGTGATTATTCTACCCAGTCCACGCAGTGATTTGATCAATATTTGTTTCTGGCTCACTTGTATATTTAAAAAAAGTGTCTTTTATGTTATCATTTATTTTTGAGAGAGACAGACAGACAGAGCATGAGTGAGGGAGGGGCAGAGAGAGAAGTAGGGAGACACAGAATCCGAAGTAACCCGAGTCTCCGAGCTGTCCGCACAGAACCCATTGCAGGGCCTGAACTCATGAACTGTGAGACCATGACCTGAATTGGAGTCGGATGCTTAACTGACTGAGACACCCAGGTGCCCCATCACTTGTATTTTCTAACCTGGGAGAGTGTGCTTCTACCTTCTATATGTCATTCACTCATCCATTCATTCAACAAGCATTTGCTAAGCACTTACAATGCAGTAGCCCTTGTGTTAGGTGTTGGGGACTCAAAGGTGAAATAGATGTGACAGTAATGAAATCCCAACATTTTAAGACACTCAGTCTGTCTGACAGAGACAATGATGGTGGAAGATACTAAACTAACTGGGAAAAGCTTTATATCAAAATAAACACATATATACAAAATTCCTAGGGTAAATATCTGTGTTAGGTGAAAAAAATCTTGCTTTAATTTTTCTTGAATAATGAAAGTAACACACAGCCATGGCAGAAAACTCACTACTGACAACTTTCATTCCAGATCATGCCTTTTCTGGTCCATCCTTGCCAAAACGATTATCTTTTTTTCAATCTCTGCCTCTGTTATGGTCGTATGATTTGCGGGATTAAAAATCACTAAGAAATTTTACTTTTAAACTTCTCTCTTTGGCATCAACAGTTTCTCAAAGAATGATTCACATGATGTGCCCTGACTGCCCCAGCCCCATTAACTTGTCAGATCCCGAGGTTCTGGGAACTGCTGCTGAGTCTCTTGCAAAATACAACAGTGAGAGCGCCTCAAAGCAGTACTCTGTCTTCCAAGTCACGCGGGCTTCTACCCAGGTGAGATTGAAGAGCTGTTATACCAACAATGTGTCTCTTAACAGTTGCTGTCCATTCCTAAACTGAGAGGCGAATATCAAGGCACTCCTTTTCATTCACACCACAAAGCCTTTTCTTTATTCCCTACTTCAGTGGGCCTGAGGCACATTCAATTCTGTTTCAGTTTCTGAGTTATGCCTTGGGATTTCCACCAGAGTCACGGGGACTCCATTTCACCTCATTCACCTTAAGGCAAGAAGGGAACTGAACTCCTGGTCTCCTTGTTTATTCTACTTAGGTTCACTATTTGCTGCTACATGCTCGTATTTGATTGACCATGGACCATTTAGCAAGTCAGTTTCTGCTTGCTAAATGGGAAGATGGAGGCTCACTTGAATTTGGATTATGTTGGATCAATTACATAGACAAAGCTAATCTAAAAACAAATCTCCAGTGAGGAAACATAAGCTCACCTAAAGGAAGGTTTTTAGAGCCCTTCCAAATCCTTAAGAAGAGAAGGAAGGTATGGTGATTATGTTTTTTTTTTTTAATGTTTTATTTATTTCTAGGAGAGAGAGAGAGAGCGCGCGCGTGAGCTGGGGAGGGTCAGAGCGAGAGGGAGTCACAGACTGAAACAGGCTCCAGGCTCTGAGCTGGCAGTCAGCACAGAGCCCGACGCGGGGCTCGAACCCACGAACCGCGAGATCACGACCCAAGCGAAAGTCGGACGCTCAACCGACTAAGCCACCCAGGCGCCCCGGTGATTATGTTTTTTAAAGAACAAAATCGCAGTACTTGCTTTGATCTTGGTGGGGAATACAGGGACAATAGGACCCAGTGTTGACAATGACTCTGAGGAGGTAGGGTTCCCATAAATAAAATGCTGCCAAACCCAAACCATTTCTCCACGTGGTAAGATTTGATTTTTGTTTTCTAACTCTTGTCTCATACCAGTGGGTGGTTGGCCCTGCCTTCTTTGTGGAATACTTAATCAAAGAATCACCATGTACCCAACACCATGCCGGCAGCTGTGCGCTTCAGCCCCCTGACTCTCTGGTAAGTATTCCTGAATGTCTTCAGAAACTATTTAGGATTCACATTCACAAGTCGTCTATATGGACTTACTGATTGATCATAAATTTTTGCATGAGGTGTTCTAAGGCATAAGATGCTTTTCTTCCCCTCAAGGAACAATTGATAATGATATTTAATTCTTTTTATGTGTTGCTACATTCAGTTTACCAGTATTTCGTATAGGATTTTCCATTTATATTCATAAGAGATATTAACATATAGTTTTCTTCTATTGTCTCTACGCCATCTCATAGGAGTTTAATATTGGCCTCATAGAATAAGTTGGGAAGTTTTCCCTCCTCTTCAATTTCATTTTGTAAGGGTTTGTGAAGGATTGGTGTTCATTCTTCTTTAAATGTTTGTTAGTATTCACCAGTGAAGCCATCTGGGCCTGAGCTTTTCTTTGTGAGAACTTTTGTTTTGTTTCTGTGTTTGTGTTTGTTTGATTAATAATTCAGTCTCTTTACTTGTTCTAGGTCTATTCGGATTTTCTGTTTCTTCCTGAGTAGGTTTTGGTAGTCTGTGTCTTTTATGGAATACGTCCATTTGCTCCAAGTTACCTACTTTCTCAGCATACAGGAAGATGTTCATAGGATTTGCCTCTTATTTCTGAAATATTAGATTTGATATATACCCCTTTAATTCCAATTTTAGTAATTTGAGTCATTTTTTTCTTGGTTGGCCTCACTAAAGTTTTGTCAATATGGTTGATCTTTTCAAAGAATCAACTTTCAGTTTTAGTTTTGTTTGGGTTTTTTGTTTTTTAGTCATCTGGTTCATTTATTTCCTCCCTGCTCTTTATTATGGCTTTCTTATTGCTTGCTTTGGGATTAGTCCTTTTTTTTCTAGTTTCTTAAGATGGAATGTTAAGTAAATGATATGCTATTGATTTTTAAATTTTTTAAGTGTTTATTCATCATTTAGAGACAGAGAGAGAGAGAGAGAGAGAGAGAGCATGAACAGGGGAGGGGCAGAGAGAGAGGGAGACACAAAATCTAAAGCAGGCTCCAGGCTTTGAGCTGTCAGCATAGAGCATGACATGGGCTTAAACCCACAAACTGTAAGATCATGACCTGAAAGGAAGTCAAATGCTTACCTGAGCAACTCAGGCGCCCCTCAATTTTTTCCTTTATTAACAACAGTATTTACATCTACAAATTTTCTTCTAAACAATGCTTTAGCTGCACCTAAGTTGCACATGTTTTGTTTTGGTTTCCGTTCATCTCAAAGTATTTTCTAATTTTCTTTGTGATCTCTTCTTTGGCCAGTTGGTTATAATGAAGTATGTAATCTAATATTTCCAAATTCCTCAACTTTTTCTATTATCTATTTCTAGTTGTATTTCATTGTGTTTTGAGAATATACTTCCTATGACTACACTTCTTTTAAATTTATTGCGATTTGTTTTATAATTTTACATAAGGTATATCCTTGAAAATGTTCCTTGCTCACACTTGAGAAGAGTGTATACTCATCAGGTGGAGCATTCTGTAATGGTTGATTTATAGTGTTGTTCAAGTCTTCTCATTGATGGTCTGCACAGTTGCTCTATCCATTACTGAAAGTGAGGGTTCCAACCAGGCTTATTGACTTGTCTTTATCTCTCTCAAATTCTGTCAGTTTTGGCTCATGTTCTTCGGGGCTTTGTTGTTATATATATATATATTAATATTTATAGTTGTGTCTTCCTAATCAATTGAAATTTTTATCATTATAAAGTGTTGCTCCTTGTCTCTACTAACAATTTTTGTCTTAAAATCAATTTTGTCTGATATGTGTATAGCCATCCCAGCTCTCTTTTGGTCACTGTTTACATTATATATTTTTTCCCTTCTTTTAACTTTCAACCTATGTGTGTCCTTAAATCTAAAATGTATGTCTCAAAAGCCTTGTGTAATCAGCCAGGTGAATTTCCTCAAGGAATAATTGGGAAAACATCTTCACCTTACTCTGTAGGGTCTCTCTTTCTCACTTGTCAATAACATCTTGGGCAGACCCCATAGTTTTCTGGTCATTTGCAGTACTAAGAACACTTCCACTTAGGTAATGAAGATTCACTTTGGGGTATGAAAAAAATCTGTTCCATCTTAAAACTTCTATCTTCAACCCAATGCAAAGCTTTTATTCTCTCTCTGTAGCTTCAGCCTGACTTAGAACTTAGGACCTAATGTGAGAAAGGGGTCAAGGTCTAATCTCTCACTTTTTCTTCCCCTTCTGTAATCTTTTGCTTAATTCTGGCTCATCCAATTTCCGAGAAGAATGAGAGAGGATAAGAGAAAAAAGTACAAAGTCTGTCATATGTAACTGAAGTTATAGTTCTCTCTTGATCTCCATAAAACAAGTTCCAGACCTGCTTCTCTCAGGTGATACAGGTGTGGGTTCACACGGAGGTCCTTTCTTGGCAAGATGATGTATCCTCTAGCTGATGCCTTGGAACCACGCCATCTCAGATTCAGCCCCCACAGGTTTTACTATTAAATGCCCCTTCTCCAGAAGATTGTCCCTTGAGTAGCTACTTTCAAAAGAGCCCTACCTATGACATTTGCTTATCCCATGGAACCCTCATACAGTTTTACTATTCCAAACAGTGTGAACATTCTTCTCTTTCCTGCTTTTTCTCTTTACCCTACCATAGGAGGATCTTGCTTTAGCCAAGATCCTGCCTTCAGAATGCTCTGAGAGAGAAGCAGACACCAATCTTCATAGCCCATATGCCTCCCAACTCTAGAGTTCACGTGTTAAGCATGTCCACAAACTCCCTCTTAGTGATCCACTCTAGTTTCAGCACCAGGTAGGCCTATGAATTAGAGTAGCTCAGTAAATCTTAGAGTGGGAGTGACTAGGCTCTGCTTGGTATAGGTAACTGCAGTCTCTCCAGCAAGTTTTCTTAGAGCCCATTCCCCATGTGATTTGGTGATGAATTGGAGAAGGAAGAAGCTGAAGCACCATTCTCCAAGGATTCTTACATTAATAAATTTTCCCATCTTAAGGAATTTCAAATCTTCTCTTTGTGTATTCTGGAAATGAGTGCTAAGGTAATATTCAGGCAAGCCATTTAGACACTTTTTAGTAAATTCCATGTGAATATTCTTAAGAGTTCTTTAGAAATCGAGGCAAAATTTTATTACAATATTCTATTTGTGTTCAAATATATGTATACTCTATGACTCTAAAATTCCTCTTCTAGGAACCTACTCTAAGAGAGTAACTAAGAACTTGTTAAGTAATGCAGAGGAATATTAGGTAGTGATTATAAAGAAAGTCACAAAAGACTATTCACTGCCATGAAAGGATTTTCACAGTATATTATTAAATGACAAAAAAGAGTTATAAAATAGTATATGTAACATACCCCTATTTATCTAGAAGAAAAATAAGTATGCAAAGGAAAAAAGGTCAGAAGAAATCAAATCACTGTAGGAAACAGGTAACTTTCATGCAATCACAGGTCTTTTAATTTTATTCTGTTTATCCATTTACTAAATAACTATGATTACATGTATATTGAGGAAACAAAATTGTTTTTTTCTAAATTAAAAGAGATTGAAGGAACTGAGAGGAAGTTTGTTTGAGAAGAGAAAAGTCTGGTAGAACATACATAAAAGGCTGCCACTATGTGAGAGATGAAAACAGGTTTTCAAAGTGACCCAAGGTAAGGGTAGAAGCAAGGCCAAGAGGTAGATGTTCTATAGACACAGATTTCTGCTCAATACAAAGAATTTTCTAACATGATTTGTTCCTTAAGAAAGCCTGAGTTTCACATCACTGGAGGTGATTTAGTCTAGTTTGGGTGATTATTTGGTAATAATGATCTAGTGGGGACTGGCTCAGAGCTTGCCCAAAACATGATAGGAACATAAAACTGTTGATTGGCCCTGTGTCTACACAAGCAGAAAGCAAATGGATTTCCATTTATAGTCATTGATAATCATAATACTCACAGGACATTGTATTTTCTGTCTTTAGCCTGTTGGTCTTTGCCATGGTTCTCGGACTGAAACACGATTAGAAAAGTTTGTCACCGTGAATTGTGAATTCTTTGAACCGCAGGTATTTTTCAACCTAATTGTTTGTCTTCCTGTGAAGAGAGCGGATCATCTAAGTCCTATGGGCCCTTACCTCACCCTCTCCTTTTCATTTCCTAGAATCTGTGATCACCACTGTATTCAGCCTGCCCCAAGTCCACTCCCCTAGGATGGTTGGTTAAAGACCTATCGTGCTTTTTTTTTTTTTTTTTCTGTCACCATGTGGTCCTGTAGAATAAGTAAGACTCCTCCAGAAACAGGAACATCCCAGCTCAGATGGCTCAGGCTTCTGAAACATTAAATTCAGTGTCCCAAATATCCTTACACTGAACTGGAGGTAGTTGTTTCACTGGAAATATCCTGTCCCTTTCCAAAAGTACTTATTGAGTGTTTACTATAAGGCAGGCAGCTGTAGTTGAAAGGATGATTGACAAGGCCACCTGGTCCCTGTCCTTCTGTGTCACCTGTGAGCTGTGTGACTCTCCACAGGTGCTTACCTCTCTGAGTCTTGGTTGCCTTGTCTGTAGAAGGGGGTTGCAACACCCCCTTGTTCCTATCCCTGTGGGAAACCCTAAGAGGAATTGGAGGAAGGGCCCTATACCTGGCCTGGCAATGAATCAGCAATCAATTAGATGGCTGCAGCTGCACTACTGAGAGCAGGGGGGTGGCTCACCAGGACTTGGAAGAAGCCATTTCACCTCCCTGAGCCATTGTTCAGCTCTGAATTTGTGAGGCTTGCAATCAAGCTTCTGCAGTCTGCTTTTGCTTTTTAATCCTCAAGTTCATACCTCTAGCAGGTCTCTCTTTTTCGTTTTTGTTTTTCTTAATTCTTTTTTTTATTTTAGAGAGCTGTGGGGACTGAGTGGGGGAGGAGCCAAGGGAGAGAGAGAGAGAGAGAGAGAGAGAGAGAGAGAGAGAGAATTTCAAGCAGGCTCCACTCTCAGCACTGAGCCCAATGCAGGGGGATCCCATGACCCAGGGATCATGAACTGAGCTGAAATAAAGAGTTGGACACTCCACCAACTGAGACACCCAGGCTCCCCTAGCTGGTCTCCCTTTGAGACATTCCATCAGAAAGTCCCAGAATAGCTGAGCTCGGTACCAGGCATGGCAGGAGTTTTTCCAGGGAATGTTCCCTTTTTTGATAATACTGTTATTTCAGGTTCCCGTCTCTGGAGGGGAAAACCCTGAAGCTAACCAGGGACCTGCGGACCTCCCCATGGTGAAAGAGCCCCAGCAGAAAAACATAGCCCCTACCAGCTCACCCTCCAAAGCCATGCCTGAAGGATCTGTCCAGTACCTCCCCAGCTTGGATGATGAGAAGAAGCCTGAGGATGCTCAGGGAAACAGCCCTGTTGAGGCCTTCCCTGTGCAGTTGGACCTCACCACAAATCCCGAGGGAGAAAGTCTGGATGTTTCCTTCCTCTTCTTGCATCCTGTGGGGAAGAAGCTGGTTGTCCTGCCATTCCCCAAGAAAGACCAACGCTCTGCTGAGTGCCCAGGACCAGCCCAGCAGGCCAACCCTTTTGTTCTTCCACTTTGAGAATCACGTAGAGGATTCTATGAAGACACGACACCCTGTAGAAGTCAAATGTAGAGAGTGACTAATAAAGTTTATCGTTTTGACTCTTCTTGGTCTCATCATGTTGTCGGGAAATGGAGATTATGAGGCTACACTGTCTACTTGTACACTGGGCTGCATCCTCTGTGAACCATCCAAGGCCTCCAATCACAGACAGGTGTCTCTGTGCCTCTCATGCCTTCAGTCTCTTCCTCTGCAATCTTACTGCCTTTTACAAAGTCTCTGATATAGGGTCTGCCATACTTAGGTATGCCCTCTTCTTTCTGGGCAAGAGCACACTGATTCTTTTGATCAAAATGAGATAAAAACTGAAGGGGATCAAGGAACTGGGATTCATCAGAGTTTCACCCTCCTTTTATTCCATAATTATTTCAACAACAAGTATCGGTCACATATTGTCTGCACAGCCTTCAACCTGAGGGTGGAATCTTGTTTCTTTCTTACCTGTTTGGATAGCCTCCACTCCCCAGAATTTGATAAAGTCACTTATCTGCACTGTTGGAAGAGAGAGTCTGTGGCCTTTGGTTGAGCCTGGAGAGAAGCACATTGCTCCAAGTTGGGGAGATTTCTGATTCCTATAATAGTTTTGCTCAGAGTAGAAAGTAAGGGCCCAATAACATTCATTCTCAATTTCTTCACCTAAAAGATAATATATGTAGAGGTGCCTGGGTGATTCTGTTGGTTAAGCATCCAACTTTTGATTTCAGCTCAGGTCAAGATCTCACAGGTGATGAGATCGAGCCTTGCATCAGGTTCCACACTGACAGCACAGAGCCTGCTTAGGATTCTCTGTCTCTCCCTTTGTCTCTGATCCTCCTTTACTCCCATGCATGGTCTATCTCTAAACATTAAAAAATATGTATATGAGGCACCTGGGTGGCTCAGTTGGTTAAGTGTCTGACTCTTGGTCAGGTCATGATTTCATGTTCGAGAGAATTAGCCCAACGTTGGGTTCTGTGCTGACAGAACCAGGCCTGCTTGGGATTCTCTCTCTCCCTCTCTGTCTGCCCCTCCCCAGCTCATGTTCTGTGTCTCAAAATAAATAAACTTAAAAATATGTATATAATATATATTATACACATACATGTATATTATGTGTGTATATGTTTATACAAATATATGTAATACCTTCATATACATATACACATTTCTTTTGAAATTTGACAGGCATTATGGGTTGAATTGTTCCCCCCAAACTCATATACTGAAGTCCTAACCCCCAGTACTTCAGTATGTGATTGTATTTGGATATAGGTCTTTCATAAGAAATCATCAGGGAGGTCCCCAATCCCACATGACTGGTATCCTTATAGGGAGAGATCAAGACACAGATGAGCACAGAAACAAGACCATGTGGGGACACAGAAAAAAGGCGACCAAGGAGATCTAGGCCTCAGAAGAGACTTACCTTGATCTTGGACTTCTAGGCTCCAGGATTGTGAGAAAATCGATTTCTGTTCTATAAACCACTCAGTTTACGGTACTTTTTTATGGCAGCCCTGGCAAGCTAACACAACAGAGAATTTACAGACATAACTATTGTCTTCCATCCTGGCAGCTGTTTCTTAGGAGAGTCACCTCTGTGTCTTGACGGCATTTGTTTAAGAGCAGTGGACAATATTCACACGCTGTTACTTCTGTTATTTAACCACACACTTTAAGAAGGAAAAATGATTAAGTAGAGGCATCATTCAGAGTCTTAGACCCTGTCTCAGTCAGGGTCTAGCAAGAAATACAATGGATCACTAGCACTGGATAATCTTTTAAGGTTTGGTGCAGGTAGGGAAGAGGGTGAGCACACCTTAATCTCGGCAAAACCACTGTAGGAAAAGCTTATCCTCATCGTGGGAGTTTTTCAACCCTCTGCCTTCCCCTCCACTAGCATTTAGCTCCTCGAGGGCACCCCATAGTGGGGGTGGCCAGTAGAGCAAGAATTGAAGGTTTAATTGAGGAGCTCAGCTCATTGAAACATATAAGTTTTTGTGTTGATCCATAGCCTTCCCCCAGCCCCGCCGTAGGTTAGAGCCCCTTAGTAACACATTGGCCAGAATCCAGACTGTTCCTTCCTGTGTACTAAATTCCTTTGAAGAGGTCCAGTTTCGGTATTCAAAAGCTAGTGTCGCTAACATTAAAAGTTCAACATTGAGCGTAACTCAAAATGTGTTTCTTTCACTTTTAGTACTTGCTGAACCCACCTGGGACTCTGGGAAATGAGGGCTTGTTTTTCATATACTTTCTCCCTTCCCTCTCTCTCTCTCTCAACTCTTTCTCTCCATTCAGGGCCTGTTTAGAGTCCAGTGGTTCTCAACCATGAATGCACATTGGAATCACCTGGAAGTTTTCAAAGTAGCAGTACTTGAGTCCATTCCAAGGGAGCCTGAATTAATTACTCCAGGGAGAGGCCTGGATATAAGGACTTCTAAAAGCCACTCACGTGATTCTAGCATGAGAACCACTGCCATGGCCGTTATAGACACTCCCTGCAGAGAGAGCCAGGAGTGGGGAGCTGCTGTTTAAGGGACTGGTCCAGGGAGGGAACCTCGGCTGGGTCCCTCTGGTCCTTTCTGATGCTGGCTAGCCCCTGGTAAGAAGAGTGCATACAGGTACATTGTTTCTCTGCAGGGGTGGCAGTAGGGTATCAGCTTAATGCCAGCTCTTCCCTCCATGCTGAGCCCCTCCCAGGTAGAGCCCTCCTAGCCCCTTCTCAGGGATGGGCATCTAATTGCTTGACTACTACCTTCACGAACGTTCTCTTCGACACAAACCAGTTCTCTTTTGCATGCTTTAGGGGCCATGGAGAACCATGAATGACAAGCTGGGGTGCCCCCAACTTCTCAGACACACTAGTGACGCTGATAACAAGAACACAGAGCATCATTTATGCGGTACCTGACTCTGCACCAACAATTGTAGTGGTTCCTTTAGCCGTGTTTTCTATTTAAGTATCACACAATCCAGCCAAAAGGGACGAATCCCCATTTTGTAAATGAAAAAATTAAGAATCTGGGAAGTTTTATAGCTTACTCAGCATCACACACTAAGAGTAACAAGGCAGGTTTGAAATTCAGATCTGACTCCAAAGTAACAGCTGTTTAATCCTTCCATTTTATTTAGGATTCAGTTTCTTTTATGGTATTAGTGGTTTAACATGTTGCCTCTCATAAATAATGCAGCTACATTCTACTGAGGACATTGGATGCCAGAATCCGAACAGGGGAGTGTTGGGGAGATTTCTGGTAGCAATCAGCAAGCAGATGAAGAAAACCTGCTTTACTTCTAACCCCACCCCACCCACCAAGGTAGGCAGCACCTATGGGCCAAAACACACCTTGCATCCATTACTACTAGAAAAATCCAGACATTGTGCAGATCACGGGTCTACCCACTCACCAGTGGCGTGTCTCAGCTTACTGTCCCCAGGACCCACTAATCATTTACAGCCTGTTGGCAGGTATTTTAACTAGCGGTCAAGGTGACTCTCCCCGGTTACACAACGGAAATATACAAACACTTTGTTTAATCAATTGTGTGTGCATGTGTGTGTGTGTTAGAAAGTCTGTATAAAATTCTCTGCTGGGACATACTGTAGCAAGGGATGATTTTCACATTTTAACAAGATGAGAGCCTTCACGGCAGCTCTGCTTCTCATCCCTTTCCTCACGCTGCGGGGTTCCTGCAGTCTGAGTTCCGCAGACTGCGACGCCACTGAGCCCCTGGCCAGGAAAGTGCTAGACCTGATCAATAAAGGACGATGGAATGGCTACCTTTTCCAGTTGCTGCGGGTCGCTGATGCCCATGTGGACAGAGTGGTGAGGAACTGCCAGTGGTAGAGCTGAGCTGGGAGACCAGGCCCCAGGGGTAAATGTGGCTCTGGCTCCCATGCTTACTGCCTTGCACAATGGAATGGCTTTGGCTAGGGCTTCTGGTTTCATTTCTGCTGCTCGTCTACACTGTTGGTTTGGGGGGGGGGGTTGCCTTCAACTAACATTGCTATTAATATGTCCTTAACTATGAATTATGAATTATAAGCATGTACCCTGAGCCAACTCCAAATGGTAAGTACTAGGAGAGAAGAGAATAAGGTGTCGGCAGAACCCTCAGGGAAATAATCATCAGCTCACGTACACACCTGTCTGACGCAGGACACATTCTAGTGATCAAGTGGTATAGATGCAGAAGTAACCTAATGAAAGAAGAGCTGTTATAATTGGTTGGGAGAAGGATGTAGACAGGGTATCAGGAAGGAGAGTGTTAGGGAGTAATTGAATACAAGCGGGAAGGGGATGTTGTGGAAGTTTTATGTGGGCTTTGGAGCAGCTAGCAGGCTGGAAGACAGACTGTAGGCTTATCTTGAAGCAGAGAGCCTACTGTTTTCACTTAAGATTATGTGCCTGTTTGGAGTGGATCTGAAAGTTGAAAGAGATTACAGAAGGAGGCCTCTCCACCAACCGTGGCCCCCAAAACACCTACCCTTTGGTGAAACCACTGAAATCTAGGAGGCCAGACCACAGAGTCCCACAGAAGATAAGCAGAGAAATTTCTACTTGTTGCCAGTATTAGAGGCACCACGGGTTGCAGAGAACAAGAGGGGTTGCAGAAATTTAAGGTCCAACTGGCAATTTAGCAACTGTGGGTCCTGTTCCAGGCTCTCGGTCACACGTGTAGGGCACAGGATGGATTGGCACGGTGCTGGCTCTGAGTGATGGTAAGAGAGTGGAGGGGTGGGTGAGGAAGGGGGCAAGGTGTGCCTGGGGAGATGGACGCAGGTGGCGTGAACTAGAAAGCCATTGCATGTGCTCAGGAAAGAGGCAATGAGGACCAGTCCCAGGCAATGGAAATCAGAGCAGGGAGAATGAAGAAACGACACGAGACATTTCAAAGAAAGACCATTGAACACCTGGCGCCTGGAAAGGACTAGGAAAGGAAAAAAAAAAAAAAAAAGCCGACCCTTCATTTCTAAGCTAGAGACCACAGCAATAAGTTATTAATGACACCTCGGACAACAGACAAGGGAAGTTGAGAGAGGGAGCTGGCTTGTAGGAGAAGACAGTGGGTTTGAGATTTGGGCAGGTTGAAATCAAAGCAAAGCAATCCAAGTTCAAGAATAGAGCCAGGCGAGAGGACACAACTGCACATACAGATTGGAGGCTGTCATCACTTACAATTCTGGGCCTGCACCTTCAACACCTCCCCCCAAACCCACAATGCTACTCAGTGGTTGCTTTTTAAAGCTCGTGGGCAGAAGCAACATCATGACCAGGGAAAAAGAACATTTGGAAGTGACTCTTCAGAGCTATTTGTTCAAAATAAGTAGATCAAATGCCACAAAGGTGGGACATCTGTGATGATTTGGAGAGGAGCAGGAATTCTGTTTAAGAAATAAAGAGATTGCTTTTATTGAAAAAGCACGAGGCTCCTACCTGCTGCTCACCTGTTGCTCTTCTGGTATTCCTCAGGAATCCGCAGCTGTCTATTATTTAGTCTTAGATGTGAAAGAATCCAACTGCCCAGTCCTATCCAGGAAGCACTGGGATGACTGTGATATAGCTCTTTCTAAGCGTTTATCTGAGATCGTAAGTACACAGAGTGTTTTTAACTTTTATCATTCTTGACTTCTGTCTATTCTGTTTGCTCAGGGCAGCTGCATGCCTGTGCTAACAGAGTGACAAAGGGAAAGCAGATCCTGCCTCTTGACTCATGAGGATTATGTTGACCTTGAGCAACAGCCTCTTGAGAGTCCTACCTGGGATCCCAGTTCAAGATGAGTCACTGGGAATTGTGGTCCCGTGGCATAACATGCCCAGCTGTGAGACCTTGGGCCAATCACCTTAAGTTTCTAGACTTTTGCCTCCTTAGCTGTAAAATAAGAGAAGGGGGCTGGGGTAGCTGGACTCTAATGTCTACTCGGGCCCTGAGAGTCTATGTGTCTGAGAATCTATGAACCTGTGACTGTACCCTGGGAGGACTGGCCTCATTGGCAGGAATAGCCAAAGGGATTAAGTGCCGGTGCCTTGAGGAACAGGGTCTTGTTCTACATGGGGCCTCAGACGCCAGGTTCTTCGCCACGGGAAGAGAACACACAGATGAGTAAGCACATATATCAAACTGCAGTTCTAAAAAATAAGACGTTTACCTACTGAGGAGTTTTAGCCCTTTTTCCTCCTGAAAATGTTTGGGATGGATATGGCTATGATCTGTTTAAACAGCTACTTCCTGGCTCTCATGAGGGTTTTGGATGTATATAGCACCCAGCCCACAGAAACAGACGAAGAAAATGCAGGTTTTGCGAGAGGATTTGGTGAGAGAAAACTAAGATGAACTCTCAGTGGATAGTAGGAATATATGACATCACTTTTTGTCCCCTCACATTCAACAGGATGAAGGCAGTATGCAATGACATAATTCCCTCTTTCTTACAGGTGATCGGACAATGTAAGGTAATAGCCACATATCTGAATGAATCTCAGGATCTTAGAGTGAATGGCTATAACTGCACCACAAGTTCTGGTATGGTCACCTGTTCAAGTGCTAATTAATTCTAAATTAATATAGAATTATATTAATACGCTGTGGTATTCATCACATAATATTAAGATCTACATTTCAGAAATGGCCCTTGCCCTCATAAAATTGATGATTATTTACTTTCTTTGGAAGGAAAAGCAGAGGGTTTTCTTCTGTTACTGGTACACCTTCCTTTAAAGAAATTCAATATAGAAGAATAGAAATCTATGAGAAGCAATATAACATCATTGTAGAGAATGTAGAGGTCAGATTTGAGTTTGATTCCCAACCTCATCACTTATTAGTTGTTTGGTCTTGAGGGCAAGTTACTTAACCTCTTTAAGCTTTCTTCCTTTGTAAAATGAGGATACTTTGCAGAATACTAGGCACTCAATTATTGATTTCGACATCTAAAAGTTACGTATTACTGTACAGTTCACAAAGTGATTACACAGATGTTATTCCATTTCATCTTATAACAAGACTGTATGAGGTAAAGATGATGATATGTTCTATTTTAGGATAAAATAACTGAGGCTCAAAGAGGCTCAATGACTTGTCCGTGGGAACACAGCCAAATGTGGTGAAGACATGATCCTATTTCACCCGTGTTGACTTTAAATTCCATGCTTTTTTAATTTATTTTTTCAAAAAGAATGATCATAGAAATCCTTTAAAATAGTTGATTTTCAACATGATCCAATACACAAAGAGATTCAACAGTCAGGCAACCCCTTTAAGAGGTCACCTTGAAGAAAGATTGATCTGTATCTTCTCTCTCTGGGCAAAACTATGTTAATGATGCCTCTCCCTCCTTGGCAAGATAGGAGGAGATTATTGAAAAATAATACTTTGTGAGTATGGGAGGTGTGTCTGAATGGAGTCACAACAGAGACCTAAGCATCAGAAGGATCTGGGCTTAAGTTCAGCTCTACTGTTGATGGGCTGCTTTGATCATCAACAAATCACTTTGCTTCACCAACCCTCAATGTGCCCATCTGTAAAATGGAAGCTATTGTTATTCTCGCCAACATGCTCATGTATATTAAGTCCCAGTTTTGACATTGCTCTTTCCGACCCCCCGATAATGGAAAGTTGCCATCTTCTTTCTCCAGTCTCTTCCGCGTTGGCCAATACCAAAGACAGCCCTGTACTCTTTGACTTCTTTGAGGACACTCAGCTTTATAAAAACCAAGCCAACAAAGCCCTTGAGAAGTACAAAAGGGAGAATGGAGCTTTTGCCTTTTTCAGAGTGGACCAAGTGAAGAGAGTTGCCAGAGCGGTGAGTGTCCACTCATATCAGCTAGCGAAATGAGGGCCCACCTCCGGCCTGGCAGACACTGACCCAGCAACCCTGACCCTCTCTACTGGCCTTGCGTGTCCTGCTACTTTCAAACTGAGGGCCCTGCTGCAGCTTGCATAGGCAAGAGATCCCAAAGACACTGCCTTCCTACGGCTTTTTATTTTGTGGAGTTGTGGGGAGTATGAATATCTACTGAAGAGGAGGGAAAACTCAAAGAAAAGAGGGAAAGACAGAAGAGCATATTTAGGGATATGTGAGTCTTTAAAACTCATCTGGTCCTATGAGGCACAGAGAGACTGTCTCAGTACCCCCACTGGTATGGCTGGGGATACACACTTCCCTGGTCTTCCAGTCCAGGTGTCCAAGAGCCTCCTGCTCACAGTGGTCTCGTAGAGCAGTTCTTTGATGTCTGTCTTACATTTCAAAAAGGCCAACTTAAAAAAGATTATGGTGCATGCAAGGAATGGAATGAATACTGCACAATTCCTAAAGAGAATGTTTTGGATCTATATGCATTGGGAGGACTTTCTAAGGGGAAAAGCAAGTTAGACACAATACTTAGACTCTGAGCCCATTTATGTTGATTAGATATATGTATATATGTGCAACACATTTAGGAAAAGACTAGGAGAAACACATCAAATAGATGGTAGTTGTGCCTCTGGGAAGAAGAGATTGGGTAGAAGAAAGGTGATTTTTCACTATGCTTATGTCTCTATCATTTGACATTTTTAATGAAACCTTATTTTTTTGAGATACCAAGAGAAAGAGTGTGTGTATGTGTGTGTGTGTGTGAGAGAGAGAGAGAGAGACAGACAGACAGACAGACAGAGACAGAGACTACCCATGCTTGCTCACATTTGAGCAGGGGAAGGGCAGAGGGAGAGAGAGAATCTTAAGCAGGCTCCTTGCCCAGCTCGGAGCTCAGTCTCATGAGATCATGACCTGAGTCGAAATCAAGAGTCAGACACCTAACCAACTGAGCCACCCAGCACCCCTTTAAAAATATTTTTTATTTGTGTGAATTTTTTAAAGGTAGCGACCATAAGGCAAATAATGCCTGCTGGTGATTTTGAATCCCCATGGTGCTTTATAGTATATTGGATAGTAGATATCTATCGCCTTTTATAAAAAAAATTTTTTTAATGTTTTATTTATTTCTGAGAGAAAAAGACAGTGTGAGCAGGGGAGGGTCAGAGAGAGAGGGAGACATAGAACCCAAAACAGGCTCCAGGCTCTGAGCTAGCTGTCAGCACAGAGCCTGGAGCGGGGCCTGAACCCATGAACCGTGAGATAATGACCTGACCTGAAGTTGGACACTTAACCAACTGAGCCACCCAGGCACCCCTTGCCTTTTTTTTTTTTTAACTTTTATGTTCCTGAAACTTCTTTGATCCAATCTGTTCTAGAGAGGAGGGGAAAGAACCAATTACTACCTGGACTTCTCTGTGAGGAACTGCTCCAGTAGCCACCATTTTCCCAGGCACTATAATGTGAGTATAATAAATAGTCTGACCACCTACTATGTGCCAGGCACCTGTCCAGGTGCTTTATACATATGTTATTAACTCCCCACCGCCACCCACTAAGGTAGGTCTTATTTTTATCTCTCACTTAGAGATGGAGAAACTGAGGCACAGAGAAGTTAAGTGAATCATGAGAATATGATTTTACAATATACACAATACTTAAACTTAACACTGAGGTTTTTTCTAACACGTTAGGGTGAAAGACTTAGCTAAGACTCATAAGGCTCTTCTATTAAGAGCCTACACACCACTGAGTGCCTTTGTTCACTTCATCTCATTTATTCCTCACAGTGGCCCCATGTGAGAAATGTAGAGGTAACCGAGGATGAGCAAAGTAAGCATCTTGCCCAGTATTCATACCCAAGCTGAGATCAGAATCCAGTTCTCCTAAGGCTCTGTGCAGTGGGCTTTTTTCCTCCATCACCATTTATAAATGGATACTCCTGTAGCTGCAAAAAGATCTTATTAATAATAGTCAGCATTTGTGTGAGGTTTACATGCATACTATTGCCTTGTTGGATCCCTGTGACAACCCTGCTGAGGAGAAGCAAATGCCTCCATTTCCCTGGGACAGAACAGCCTAGAAGGTTAACCAGTTACCTCAAAGCACTTAGCTAGAAAGTGTTAGGACACAGGAGTTTAACAGTGGCCTTCTGATTTCAAGTCCAGGATAATTCTGAGGTTTGACAACACATTCTCCAGGGTCAAAAGAGAGGAAGGATTCATTAGTTCCTTTTCTGGCTGTTCAAAGTTTCCGCCTGAAGCCGTTCTAGAATCTTGCTTAGTGGTCACCAGAAAAGAGATCTCCCTCTCGCACTCCCTTCTTCAACGAATCCTTAATAATCTTGGTGTGAGTGATGCAAACCAGTGCAGAAACATAGCAGCTGGAGAAGAGGAGTCTTAGTGTTCGGTGTTTTGCGGCATAATCTCATTTAATTAAGCCCTGCCACATCCGGAAGACAGTTAGCATTGTGCCCATGTTACAAACAAAGACTGGATTTTAGAAATTTTAAGTAATTTGCCTAAACTCACACAACTAAGAAATGGTGATGCCAGAATTAACATGGGTCTCTCTGACTCCAAAACTGTTCTCAGAACCTCAGTGCTTGCCTGTCTCTTCTAGAAAAGAATTTTCTCCTCACCCTAGTCTACCACCTTTGACAGCTGGGTTCAGGAGCCTCTAGGGCACAGGGGTGCAAGCCAGTGGTAGCCTCTGTACTTCCGGTTGGGCCAGCAGATGGTTACTTTGACAGGGTCCAGCAAGCCATTTTCACACTGGTTCCTTCCTTTCCAACACTTTCTTTCAAGGGACTGGATAAAGTTGTATACAAATCCCTCTTCTCCACCACTCTTATTTCTCTCCAGGCACCAGTGGTTTGGGTCTTCAGTGCAGAAGGCTTGGCCTAAGGCAAGGCATCAAAGATATGGTGTTCCTCCCTGACCCCCCTGGGAAAGCCCAGTACTGGCCACCACTCAAGGAAGAAAACCACAGCAACTTGAAGTGAAACTCTTGGGAACCTGCACTTTCTCCAAGCAGTGACCAAGACAGATTGTTAAATAACTAGCGGATTTTTCCAAAGCTCTTTTTCTTTCCCAAATGTCTGCAAGTTTGTAACTGTAGCCAGGCACCTTCATACCACCTGCACACAAATAGACACACACACAAATACACACATACACACCCTAACAGGCTTCTCTTTTCTTTATAGGCCTTTGGATTCTGCAGAGCAGACTTGTCGTATGATGCAGGAGTCTCTGACTCGGAAACCCCAAATTACATTACCATAAGCTGTGAAGTCTTCAACTTGGAGGTGGGTTGCCTAAATCGTCCTTAGTATAAGCAGTGCCAGACTAAGAGATATTTTCTTTTTTTTTTTAATTTTTTAAATGTTTTTATTTATTTCTGGGAGAGAGAGAGAGAGACAGCATGAGCAAGGGAGGGTTAGAGAGAGAGTGAGATACAGAATCTGAAACAGGCTCCAGGCTCTGAGCTAGCTGTCAGCACAGAGCCCGATGCGGGGCTCGAACCCACGAACCATGAGATCATAACCTGAGCCTAAGTCAGAAGGTTAACCAACTGAGCCACCCAGGCGCCCCTAAGAGGTATTTTCAAACACATAGTGTGTTTGGTTGTTATAGCTCTGGGGATGGAGGGGGATAGAGAAAGAGAGAGGCAGAGAGGTGAGAGGGAGCTGAAAAGAAATACAGAGAGAATAGGTCTCTGGGGAAGAGGTACAATTGCTGGTATGATACAAAAAGTATTAAAAAAGAATTCCAAGAACTGGGGAGAGGTAAGATTTGTAAAGTAAAATCATAACCAATTCAATCAGTCTTTAATGAATATGAAAATGGCTCTTATAGTCAAGGCGCCTGTGCTGAGACTTAATAATTTATAATTTTTATCAGTAAGGATAGAGCCTAAGGGGAATGCATTAGCCTCAAACGTATAAAGATACATAAACCTAAGGCACAAAGTAACATTTCACATCTGTCCCAGAAGGCTTTGTTCCATGCCAAGATATCCATCATAGTATTTTTCATGTCAGCAAAAAAACTGAAAGTAATCCGAATGTCCATATGCCAGACCAAAAAACAAAATGGGGTAGGGACATGACAGGTTGTCACCATGAAAATGGCTCCATAGATTTTAAAAAAAAGTTTTCTAGTGTTTATTCTTTGAGAGAAGGAGAGCATGAGCAGAGAGGAGCAGAGAGAGGGAGACACAGAATCAAATGCAGGCTCCAAGCACTGAGCTGTCAGCACAGAGTCTGACACGGGGCTCGAACTCCCCAACCATGAGATCATGATCTGGGCCAAAGTTGGATGCTTAGCTGACTGAGCCACCCAGTCATCTGATCCACAGATTTTTTTTTTTTTAATTAAAATCTGAACAAGGAGGAGAGTAAAGAGGTGAAGTGCTCATCCTTTATGATGAAGAGATGCTTATACCATAAAGCCTCAGAACTTTGTTGAGGATATTAAGTATCAGGTACTTGTTTTCCAAATGCTGATCTACAGATGAATACCATCTAGAATATAATTTCACCATTTTATGCTGAAATGAGAAAAATGGGGATAATAAATAGTGTTTCATAATACAATGTTTATTCCATCTAAAGAACTACCCTTTACTCTGAGATTATCTTACTCTTGTGTTATCAAAATATTATTACTATTGTGAAATAATGATGATGGTATATGATAGTTTTTGTTTGTATTTTAAATGTCAACTTGGGTGGATAAAAGTTTGGGAACACTTTTTTGCTACCCTATTTTAAAAATGGATTTGTGGAATACAAAAGTCTGCAAGCCCTAGGTCTAAATCAAATTGTACATCTAACGTCTCCTTCTGTGTTCTGTCATAATAATCACTTTTCTGTATCCTTTAACAGGATCATAGAAACATCAGTGGTACACACCGGCATTTCGGCCATCCCTTCCATTCTGGTGGGCATGAGCATTCTCTTGCTGGCAAGCCTCCATTTAAGCCAGATGAATTTAGAGATCCCCACCATCCCCACAAGCCACATAAACATGGATGTCTACTTCCTCCAGAAGACAAAAATGAGTCAGACAGACCACCATTTCAGGCAGGAGCCCCTCCAGTCTTGCCTGCTCCAGAGTTAAAATGTCATCATCCCCATTTTGGCACCAATAGGACCCATGGACACCTTCATAATCATAGTTCTAGTAAGCACCCTCCCCATGGACACCCTCCCCATGGACACCCTCCCCATGGACACTCTCCCCATGGACACCCTCCCCATGGACACCACCCCCCTGGGCACCACCCCTCTGGGCACCCGCATGGACCCCCTCCCCATGGGCACCACCCCCATGGACACCACCCCTCTGGGCACCCCCATGGACACCACCCCCATGGACACCACCCCCATGGACACCATCCCCATGGACACAACCCCCATAGCCATGATTTCCTTGACCATGGACCTTGTGACCCACTACCACATAGCGAGGATCCCCAAGATCGCCATCGCCAGGGTCGTGGCCCACCATCTAGGCACCCAGAAAAAAGAGGTCCAGGTCAGAGACACTTTCCCTTCCACTGGAGACAAATTGGATATATTTACCGACTCTCTCCGCTAAAGAAAGATGAAGTTCTTCCTCTTCCTGAAGCCAATTTTCCTAGCTTCTCATTGCCAGACCACAGCCATTCTCTAAAACCAAAGATTCAGTCCTTCCCTCAATCAGCCTCTGAATCATGCCCAGGGACATTCAATAGTGAGTTTTCACATGTCTTGAAGTTTTTTGCACATACGCTTCCAAAATAAAATCTGATTTCCTTGGTGGGGAAAAATTAACATTCTGAATTAGAACCATAAATTAAAAATACGACCAACAATGAATGTAAAATTCAAGTTATTTTAATCTTACTTTCATACTTGGGGTGAGGCAAAATGTGGGTGGGGGAGGAGATGGCATGAGAAGAGAAAGACAAATGGAAAGGAAAGCTCTCAATGCTACAAGTCACTGGCCCCCAAATTCTTGTAGCAAATCTCCAATCCTCTTTCTTTGCTGGACTTAATTCTTTTAATTCTACAGTCTACAGTACTCTATGGGTACTTATGCTATAGCTGGGGCTACCATAAATTCAGGTGTACAAGAAATATCAGTTTATTTTCAGAACAAAGTAATTTCCATTTCAGGCCATTCCTGTAGGCTAGTAGGAAAAGTTTTTTAAATGTTTATTCATTTTTGAGAGAGAGAGAGAGAGAGAGAGAGAGGACACAGTGGGGAAGAAGCAGAGAAAGAGAGGGAGACACAGAATCTGAAACAGGCTCCAGGCTCTGAGCTGTCAGTGGAGGGCCTGACACAGGGCTTGAACTCACGAACCATGAGATCCTGACCTAAGCCGAAGTCAGACCCTTAACCAACTGACTCACCAAGGCGTCCCAAAATATCACCTTATTTTCAGAACAAATTAATTTCCGTTTCAGTCTGCCATCCTAGTAGGCTAATAGGAAACTTAACCTTGGTCCTTCTTGTACTACTTCCCTGACCCCACTACTCTCCACACAAAGTCGTACCACAGTTCTCGAATTTCATGTCGTGCCTAAGAAAACGGATGGTGGGCAGAGAAAGAGGTCTGATTCTTCACCGCTGGTCCACCAGGTCACTCTGGCTGAGAAATACCTACCACCCTGTTCCCATCCCTCTCTGGGTCTAGTTTATCTGATACTGTTGTATCAAACTGGGGATATAAGGCTCTCCACAGAACTGCTAATGAACGGGACTGCCGAGAGATGCTGTATGGCTGTTCTCTCCCTGGGATCTTGCTGCCTTCTAGGCTGCAAGCCCAGAAAGCAGGACAGAGGTGTTCTTCTCTGCTCCAGGAACCCCAGAGTGCTGTGTTTTCCTCCTATCTTCTCACTGGGCTAGGGAGGCTCCAGTGTCAGGTAACTTCTCTTTATTCATTTTGGTGCCAGAGGACTCTCGTTTTCCACACTCCAGTCCTCTTTCTTTTCCTTTCTTCCCAAATCAGGGCTCAAGCATTTAGACGCAGGCGAATAAGATTTCAGCCCTGGGGTGTGTGGGTGGCTCTGCTGGTTAAGTGTCTGACTCTGGATTTGAGTTCAGGTCATAATCTCATGGTTCGTGGGATCCAGTCAGCATCTGGCTCTGTGCTGACAGCATGGAGCCTGCTTGGGATTCTCTCTCTCCCTCTCTCTCTGCCTGCACCCTTATATAAATACACATTTAAAAAATAATTTTTAAAAAATAAATGAACATATTTTTTTAAAAGGGCTGCCTTCCTGACTTAAGCAGTTTCAGGTGCATAGTGATGGCAGAAGGTATATTCACGTGTGTGTGTGTGTGTGTGTGTGTGTGTGTGTGTGTGTTGCGGCAGGGGGTGTATAGGGGATAAAATGAAGCTGAAAGAGACATGGGCATGTTCTTAGGTTGAGAAGAAGGAGGGCCCCACAGAGATGCTGAGGCTGGGAGAGTGAGGACATTTCTAATGGTGCATAATTGAGGAGTAGTTGGAATCAGAATTTGGGGTTTATCAGAAGGGTTCTTTAGACTTGGTGAGTAGACACCCATGTCCACCACATCAGGAACAAGAAGCAAGGCGGACACCTAGGAGCCTCAGTCAGTTGAGTGGCCAACTCTTGATTTCAGCTCAGGTCATGATCTCACAGTTTGTGGGATTGAGCCCCACGTTGTCCCGTTGTGCAGCTGGGCACTGGGCTCTGCGGTGCCAGTGTGGAGCCTGCTTGGGATCCTCTCCCTCCCTCTCTCTGCCCCTTTGCCATGCACTCACTCTTTGTCTCAAAATAAATAAACTTGTTAAAAAAAGAAATAAGTGGGGCACCTATGTGACTCAGTTGGTTGAGCATCCAACTTTGGCTCGAGTCATGATCTCGCAGTTAATGGGTTCAAGCCCTGCATTGGGCTCTGTGCTGACAGCTCAGAGCCTGGAGCCTGCTTCAGATCGTGTGTCTCCCTCTCTCTCTGCCCCTCCCCCCTCATGCTCTGTCTCCCTCTCTCTCTCTCAAAAATGAATAAACATTAAATTTAAAAAAAATAAGCAAAGGCAGGGGACACAGGGCTTCACTCAATTCATCTATTCTTGTGCTTCTCTCCTGTCTCCTCCACCTGGGAACATTTTTCTTTCTAGAACCAATCCAATTGAGTGGAGACTTGACCAGAGACCAAAGAGGATGCCCATATTTTATTTTTAGTTGTGCCGGTGTCCTGGTATGGGGCTCTTACCATGCACTATGTCCCGATGCACATGGGCTCCCTAGGCATACGGTGTGATTGGTAGCAACATGTTTTTTGGCAGCCAGACATCTTGCAAAGAAACGATTGAAAGGTATCTGTACATTGTACTCATTGTTGCACCGTCCGATGCAGTGACCTTCATAAATGGCTTTGGGAAAGTCATTTGGGACAGGGAATAACAGGTGCTGGGTGTTTTCTCCTCCTTTATTAGTTTCTGTTCTGATCTGTTGCACAACCTTGTGCAATCACCTGGAAATGTGTTCCATGCTCCCACCATGCTTCCTGAATGCAAACAAGCAGGTCAATAACCTCCTTGTTGTGACATTTTAGCTTGAAATCTGCTTGGATAACCCCACAGAGCCATTTGTCCTTTGGAAGTAGGGCAAATAGTGCAGGGCAGCAGGAGTCCACCGGGATCTGAAGTGCCGAGGCAGAGAGAGGGGAGCACAGGGGAGAGAAAGGGTTGAGAATAGCTAAAGTCAGCGTTCGAGTTGGCGCCCGGTTCTTGGTGAAACCATCTCTCAGCTCCCGGAGGGAAACGGCTAAACCATGAAATTAATTGCCATGCTTCTCCTTTGCTCCAGGCTGCTACCAAGCTTAACCCAGGAGTCCTCACAGGAAATCGACTGCAATGATGAGGACCTGTTTAAGGCTGTGGACACTGCTCTGAAGAAATATAACAGTAGAAACCAAAGTGGCAATCAGTTCGTGTTGTACCGTGTAACCGAGGTCACCAGGACGGTGAGTGAGCTGTGTCTTACCTTGAGGTCATTTGAGATTTGTGCTGTCACTTGGAGCCCAGCCTTTCCCCTACCACCCCCCACCCCCCAACACACACACCCCAACAATCGCCAAAGAACTGACAAGCAGAGGTGGAAGCATTCGACTCTTTGGCCCAGGAGTGAGGGGCAGGGTATAGACTAGTCCTGGGCCACCAAGCTTGGGTTCCTGGGTGATCAGAGAAGCAGCATCCTCTGGTGAAAGGAAACAAAGGTAATTGGAGTTATTTGAAAGAAACTATGCAGAGTAGGAGAATCCAGGAACTCAGTTAGATTGGTGCAAAAGAAGTTCCTGAGTGTTTAGCCCTAGCCTAAAATATAAAGTCTTCCAGGGGTACCTAGGTGGCTCAGTTGGTTGAGCATCCAACTTCAGCTCTGGTCATGATCTCACAATTCGTGGTTTCGAGCCTGGAGTTGAATTCTGTGCTGACAGCTCAGAGCCTGGAGCCTGTTTCAGATTCTGTGTCTCCCTCTCTCGTTCTCTGCCCCTCCCCCATTCGCACTCTGTCTCTCTCAAAAAATAAATAAACATTACAAAATTTTGGTTCAAAATTTTAAATAAAGACCTCCAGACCTCAGGTGGGGAGGGGGCGCTTAAGGGGAGTGTATAACAAATACCGTGCGATCTCACTTAATATGTGGAATCTAAAAAGGTCTAACACCAAAGCAGAAAGTAGAAGGGAGGTAGCCAGAGCCTGAGAGCTGGGCACAATGGAGGATATTGGTCAGAGGGGGTACAAGCTTTTAGTTATAAGATGAATAAGTCCTGGGGATCTAATGTACATCATGGTGCTTATAGTTAATAATACTGTATTATATACTTGCAATTTGCTAGATGACTAGATTTTAAGTGTTCTCACCATGTGTATATATACACGAAAGGTAACTACATCAGATGATGCATGTTAATCGGCTTTTTGTAGCACTTTACAATGTGTGTGTGTATGTATATATATATATATATATATACCATATATAAATCACATTGCACACTTTAAATATGTGTAATTTTTATTTGTCAACTATACTTCAATAAAGCTAGAGGGAAGGGGAGTTATACCTAAGAGGAGGCAGAAACGAGATTAACATGCATTAGACAAAATATCTACCAGGAAGTCTGTATGGCTGAACGCATCAAGGGTAACAGCGATGTTCTAGGTGTTTTCTAATATTTTTTATAACATATTGGTGCACTCGGGTCGAAGACAAATCTTGACAGTATTGTGACTTTAAAAAGACAGGTCTTTCAATAATTAGTTTAAATGAATTTCACTAAAAACCTCTGCGCCTGTGATAGTTATGTAACTGTTTGCTTTGGCAGAGGGGAAAAGCTAGTCATTTGACATGACCAGGATAAAAAAAAAAAAAAAAAAAAGCTCAGTGGACAGAATTTCTTTTTTTTTTTTTTTTTTTAAGTAAATTTGAACCGTTCTGTTGCCATGATGTAGACCTGTGGTCCTGGCACTCTCCAGCAACAGTCAATTCGTGTTATCTTCCTTGGCTGACGTCCATGGCAAATGTGGGGTTTTTTTTTGTTGTTGTTCTAAAATGTCCATAGAGGGGTGGCTCAGTCAGTTGGCTGAGACTCCCACTCTTGATTTCAGCTCAGAGCATGATCTCGGGGTCGTGCGACTGAGCCCTGCATTGGGCTCTGTGCTGAGTGTGAAGCCTGCTTAAGATTCTTTCTCTTTCCTTCTGCCCTTCCCCCCTTCTCTCAATAAATAAATACATACATACATACATATATACATACATACATACATACATAAATGAAATACCTATCAAATCGTGCCTTA